GGCACCGCCAGCTCCAGCCGTTCCTGTTCCCTTTCCTCAGGGCCAGGCCTGGCCCCTGCAGCAAGGCCCAACAAGGGCACCGAGAAGTTTAGGTGGCCAAAGCGGAGGGGCCGAGAACTGGGTTTGCTCAGCCTAACGGGAAGGCTCAGGGCAGGGGGATCTTATGGCTCCTGCAGCTGCTGAGGAGAAAGAGGAGGCGACAGGGCGGCCCGTTCTGAGGTGCCCTTGACAGGACACGAGTAATAGACATGAATTACCACAGATTTCTGAACTGAAGCTACTTTCTTGTCGTGAGGATGGTTCAAATAGGTGCCCAGAAAGGCTGTGCAATCCCCACGCCTGGAGATACCCAGAGCTGAGCTGGGCAGAGCCCTGAGCCACCCGCTGTAGCGAGATCTGCTCCGAGCTGGGCAGGACTAAACCATCTCCAAAGGCCCCGTCCAACCAGGTATTTTGTGACTATGATCTAACCACTCAGCTCTTCCCCTCGTTTCCAATATACCCCTATAATACTGAGCTTCAGTTAAAGCAGGACTCAGCTGCTCAGCTCCTGCTGTGCTTTGTAGAAACAGCCTCTGTTAAAAAAAAAAAAAAAAAAGTTTTTTTTCCCTCGTTTCAGACAAGCTGTCCTGAAATACACAGCCAAGCTGGAGAAAAGAGAGCACAACAATGGTGATCCCCCTCCCTGGCTCGGGTACGACAGGAACGGCAACATCCTCACCTTCCCCAAACAGGAGCTACAAGCTTGAACAAACAAAGCCTTCAAAAAAGAAAAATCTACAGATCATACACCATCTTCTACAGTGCCGCTTATTTTTCAACAGAACATGAAAAGAACACTGTAATGTTTTTCTTAAAAGTAATAACCCCTTAATAAAAGCCAGTTTTCTTGCAGAATGAGTGAGGCTGTGGTGAATGTGCAGCAGGAGCACGTGTGCCTCGCAGCAGGACGGCCGGGCTGCAGCGTCAGCGCTGCCTTTCGGATGTCAACTCTGGCTGTTTGCAGCGCTCAGGAACTGCAAGTTACACCAGTAAGCTCATGCAGAGGGAACAATAAATACACGTAGCGTGGTTGGGATTCTCATTTCTGATGAGGAAGACATCTTTTCTAGGACATAAACACTTCACACGACTGTGCGTCGCCAAGAACAGTGCTCAAACCTTTACTTACCACGTGTAACGCACAGCTGTAGATGCGCATCCAAGCAGGGTTCTCTGTTTTTAAGCAGTCACTTGCACATCCACAGCACTGGCTCACATAAAGCCTCACCAGGCTCAGGATTCAACTCTTGGAGACAGCTGGAGTTCACGTGTTCAGGTCTGAACTGTGGACTAGATGGCAGCTGACACAGAGAATAAACGGTAAAGGTCTTAGACGATAAAAGAGTTAAAAGATGATTTTGCCCCTGATGCTAGATCATCTTCTCATCAATTGCAGAAAGAGAAGCAGCACACCAAGGATTTACTGCCCAGATTCTACTTACTGATAACTCACTTGTCTTTCCTTGTATAAAGAAAAATATAGAAATTTTTACCGTATTATAGCAGAACAAGACCTTACTCATATGTCTCTGTGGAAACTCCCAGAGATTTGTCTTTCTTCAGCTCATTACTGATCTTTACAGTCATGCTCTAAGCTGGCCTCAACATCTACTACCACAGAATCATTTTCATCACCGTTGCTTTAATGGTAGCACAAATTTTCTTATTGCTTAAACATCTGTAAACAAATAGCATGCAATCCTAATATTTAATTGTAACTAGTTTCAGAACAGGAATGTATCAGTTTGCTTACATGAGACAGCGCAAGACTGTTTTCTCTATGTTCTCCCCTAAACTGCAGCCCACCAGAGTCAACTGCAGCTGATGGGCTTTGCATTCAGGAGACATCAGGGCAAGGACTCAGTTCTGTGAAACACCTAACAAACAGCACTGCTTTTATTTTCAAAGGCAGTGTTAATTCAGAAATGCTTCTTGCACTTTATGTCTGCAGCAGTGCACAGAAAGTATCAGTTTGAAAAACAAATCAGGAAATTAAAAACTTTTACATATTTATTAATTTTGCATCTTTTAACGGTTATACAATAACAATTAGCAATAACTAGTAATATCATATTGATTTTTGTAATGCTTTATATATTAGTGTATGCGCTTATATAAAAATAGATACAATTTGCCATATACATCAGTGCCAATCCCATCCAAGGAGCACATGCAGTGGGGAACAGAATACAGTCTAAAACCAGTTTGAATTGAAGTACAAATTGAAGTTGCCCTTAAGTACTGGAGTGCATTAGCAAGGAGCGGTAAAACTTTCCATGGGGAAGGAGGAGGCCATTTATAGGTACTATTATGACCCACAGTATATACAAACATTCATGCTATTTAAAACCTGAGCTCTTCTTTGTTTCTCTCCATCTACTCAGCTGGCAGCATTTATTACATTTCAGATTTAAAACGCAGATTTCAGTACTTGTATTATAAGGGACATAATAAATAATTCCACGTAAATGGAAGAGGTTTTAAAAGCTCAATTTACTTCACTGCATGTTTACATTACAGTAACCCCGACGCCTGCAGCCAGGGCACCCAGCCCTTCCTCATCTTCCTGCTCCCTCTGCTGCCTTGCAGGGCTCCGTGTCCTGCCCCGCCAGGCTGGCCGGGTGTCCCTGGAAGGCAGCAAACAGACTGGGGATCCTGCTCATTAGCTCAGTCCTTCCATCCTGGGACCACCTCCCCTGCAGGGGAAGCTTCGTGCGCTGGAAGGACCCGTTGGTGGGACGATCCCCCCTGAGCGCAGCCTGAGGGTTTATGTTAAACGCTCTCCTCAGGAGACGAGCAGTGACCCACAGAGACTCCTTGTTGCTATCCATGAATACGAGGCCCATGACGACATGGAGAAAGTTCTATAACTTTCATGTCTGTAGTTTTGCACATACAGTACCCATACATAAGGGTCAAATACCAAACCAAATGACCAAGTAAGAATTACAGTTCCTGAAGTGGTTTCATCCTAACCATGGTTAATAATTTGGTTGAAGAAAATTCTCAGCATTTCGCATAAATCAATAAAACTCATGCAGTACTGAAACATTTCATTACTACTCAAGAGCAGGCAGAGCACATTACCTTCCAAGGAAACTTTTGTGTTTTTAAATACAGCGTTGAAACTTCTTTTCACAGCAACTCTGAACTTTGTTTGAAAGTTACCAGACTGGCTTGGTAAGTGGGTCAAGTTACACAAATTCCGAATATGAAAGATTCTAAAGGCAGTTCCTAAAGGCTGTGAAGAGTGAACCAGTCCCGCACACCTGCTAAGCACCAGCCATGGCCGCTGGGAAGTGTTGGGTTAAAAAGCCCTCATTTTCAAAATTGTTTTTACCATATGATAAAAATAGGTCTCTAAGTTCCATAACATTACAAAAGTGTTGCTTTGCGATTCCTTCATTTGATCTCTGGCCTCATTTCACCTTTAAGTATCCTTCAGCTTGATGGACTGGATCCAGCTCTGACTTTTAAGAGACACTTTCCCATTCTGTGCGTCAGCCTTAATCCATTTGTCTGCTTCATCCCCCTGATTCATGCGACCTGCAAGAGAGCTCCGTTCAGTCCAGTTTAACACACAAAAACCTCTTCACATCAGCTGACTTTTTTTTGCAGGCCCCCTCAAAATACACTGCGAAACTCTGCTAGAATTTACGCAGTTTTTAACAGCTTCTTCTTTGCGTTCATCCTTCCCCACGCTATGTTATCGCAATAGATTTGGAGCACTGCATTTCTTCTAATTATATAATACCATAGGTTTTTATTATGGCCTAGGCAATACACAAACACAACCACTGATCTGGCTACGTAACCTGAGAAATGATCATCTTGGGAGCAAACATGGACAAGGTCTGAGGTAGAGGATGGCTGGACATGTTGCTGCTCCTGCTTTCCTGTGCCAAAGGCTTAACGAAATGGAAAGGTCCCTGTCACCTCCACGGGTGACATTAGCTCCGAATGCAGCACCGTGCTATGAAAAGTGCACTACGTTACAGACAAAGGAGAAAATTCACCTTTTTTTTCTCATTTTCAGTTAAGAAATTGAGGCTTAGGGAGACTAAGGGACCTTTGAAGTTTACACAGAAAATTTACGACCAAATTGGGAGTCAAACGGGGATGCTGCGAGTGCCCAATGAGCGCCTGGATGCAGAGGGGCCCTTCACTGGGGGTTCCCTTTCCAAACCACCTCCCACTGATCCCGCAGTGCTTGTGCAGCGGGGCAGGCGCTGAGCTCGGAGCCAGGCTGAGCACAACCCGTGTCGCAGCCTCCGCGCTGGCCTCTCCTTCCGGCTCTTTGGGACTGCTGAGTGGGATTCGGTTCAGATCCCGGGCCAAACCACATCGAGAGCAAGCCAAGATGCTGCTTCAAGTGCAGGGTTTCCAGAGGAGCCCAGCACGGTTCAGCTCTCCTGCTGAGTGAAGAGGTTCCTGAGTGTCCTCTGGTATCAGCCCTCAAAATGCCTTCCAGGACCTCCTCACAGATGCCCCATACAACTTCTGCTCTCCTCGCTGGGACTCCTTTGCCATGAGCAACTACCCTACACATTTAATCTTCCTACCAGCAGCAGTGACAAGAAGTTTTGTAAAACCCACATTTCCACTCTGAATCCAGTCGTTCACTTAATGGCCATCTTCATAGGCTTATTTTAAGCTGGAAAAATGTGGTATGTATGAAACCTGTTACTGCCGAAACTCAAATTCCCAGAAAGACTTTTCTGAACAACCGATTCGCAATAGCACCATGTGAGAGAAACAGGAATGAAAGCAAAATCTGTGTTTCAGGCAGCAATAGCTCTTAAAACACAAGATCAGGCTGAATTTTAAACAGGAAATACCACCAGGTGTCAGAAGAATTAACTGACATGAAATGCAAAGGAAAATCATTTCAGCTGGCCCCTTAACAGAGCAGGGACGACAAGGGGCACAGCTTGACAGAAACACCCAGGCTCGTCAGAGGGGCTGCTAAGAGCTGCGTTCCTGCCTCGGCTCTGCTTCTCCTTGGGCACTTCCTACGGGCGCTGGGGAAAGGGCTTTGCTCCACACGCTGCCTTTGGAGCTCTGCCTGCGAAGGGAAGCAAAACTGCAGCTCCCCACGGCAGAGTCAGCGTCGAGTTCCCACCCCAGGGCTGCAGATCTTGACACTCCTTTAAGATGCCCAGACCTGTTGCCAGTAGCAGGTCCAAATCCAACTTAAGATAATTAAATGGTTTGGTGCATTAGGCTGCAATCAAGCAACAAGAGTTAGTTGGGAAGCT